TTGAAGATCAATGGAACAATCATAAGAATGATACTTTGGAAGAATACTTGCATTTTTTTAAAAAAAAATATCTTGATAATCTTATTATTGACTTAGAATGCTACTTGAAATCTTTTCTCCATCAATAATAGGTGTGGCATATATATCAAAAGTTGACCCATCTTTTATAACATGTATAAAATTTTTTGCACCTATCTGTAATAATTTATATATATTAGTCTTATGGATTTCTATTTACCTAGTAGAATCTTAAGCTAAACTATGGAAAAAATCAAGGTTGCAAGAGATCTAGCCTATTTAAAGATTATACCTTCTTAACCATGATAATCTCAAAATAATTAAGTTAGAAGGACATCTAATCACATTAAATATTATTAAACTATTATGATAACTAGTCGCTACTTCTAAAGAAATAGTTTCATAAGTAACATCTCTAAAAGACAACAAAAGACTATCTATTACTTCTACATGTATGGGTTTGATTTTCTTAATTAAAAACATATCTTATTTTTTGACAAAATCTTTGTCAATAAAACAATCTAAGGCTCTTGACTCTAACAAGGCTTCTTGATTTTTTGGTCTTAAATAAACTTCTATTATAAAATAAGGTGAGGGATCTAAAGAGAGAATAAAACCTTTACTAAGAGTTATACAAAATTTCAAGTACACAATTCCTATTATAATTGAAGTAATTTATTTTTTAACACATTGTCATTTTTAGTAATTATGCTCCTTATTTTGTAATTATATTGCTTCTTTGGATAATGTTGAGTAATATGCTTGGATTTTCTATAATATAGGTACAAATTTTTTTTATAACAATGAAACTTTTCTTACTTAGTAGGAGGTTTAAAATATACTATGTCAATTTGCATAGGCTCTGGCTCACACAAATAAGCTTCTAAAAACTTAGAAGATGTTCCTATGGCTTGACTTGCACTTCTATAATCAAATCTTTGTTCATGGCATCTTTAAAAGAATTAACTGTTGCCTATGATGGCTTAAGCAATAAATTGCTCCAATGAATTTGTTCTCAATATTGTCAACAATAAATCTTTGATATTATCTTTTAATCCATATCAAAATTTATCGATAAGGGCTTTATTATTCTAATTCATATTATAAGTAAGATTTTGAAATTCGGCAATATATATAGTGGCTGAATGTGATTCTTGTTGTAGTAATACAAGCTTCATCTTTGCTATCTTTTTTCCATCATTTTTTCCAAATGTAGCCATATATACTTCCAAGAATGAATTCAAATTATAGAATAATTATGAATCATTTTCTATCAAAGATGAAAATTGAAAGAAAGCTTTTTCTAATAGAAGTGTGCCTACAAATCTAACTTGTATAAATCCATTGAAGCATTGGAAAGGATGCAACTTTAAATAGAACTTAACTTATTATATAAATCTTCAAAATTTTGATCTTATTCCATCAAACTTTATAGGATATAGTAATCCTTTATTCTATTATGCTTATAGGAATGAGACTTCACAATTTTTTTTATGAGGGTGATATACTTGCTTCTTTCAACTGTAGAACTTCTTGGCATAGATTTTGGACTTCTTTCATATGTGTAGGAATAGTACCTCCATGATTTACATTAAAAATATGTCAAATTTCTACACTTAGAGTGTTGACAAGCTTGTAAAGATTGGCAATAGTTCCAAATCTATTCTCACTTCTATTGAGAGTAGTATCTATAATCTTTCTTTCTATAGACAACTCAAGCAAATTCAAAAAATTAAATTAGAAGAGGATAATCTACAACTTCTAATAGCAAATTAAAACTTTTACAAAGAAGAATATTGTACTTTCTTTAAGAAAAAAATTAGTGTTAGAAAACTAAACTATTTATTTAAAGATGGATAATTTGCAATCTTTAAAATACAACAATAGAAGTGAAATAATCTACTCAATTTTAAAATAAGACAAGAACAATAAGTTAGCATTCTGATCAAATTGTTAAAGATATGAATTTTGAAGAAAGGAATCCTTAATAAATTCTTGTATCACTTGATAAGACTAAGAAATTACTTAAAGATGGTAATATATTATTATAAATATATATCTACTATAATTGTTACCTAAGTAATATAAATAGATAGAATTAAGTAAAAGTAGATTAATTTTATAATATCTTCTATTTTGACTTTACATGTGTCTATAATTGATTTGTAGGTTAGAAACTTGGTCAACAAGTTAACCACGTGCCACATGTATTAATAGTTTGTGGAACAAGCTAACTATGTGCCACATGTGTTGATAGTTTGTTGAATAAGCTAACTATGTGGTGCTCATATATAAAACTTATCTTGTAAGTTAAGATATGTGTCATACAAAGTTAATACATTTTTGGAGGTCCTATAGAACGTCGCCACATAGATCCTAGTTAGATAGTATATATAGAGGCTAGAGTAAAGTCTTCTTCACTCTTGTCAATTCCTTTCTTGTTTCTAGTGTAGTTTCAAGAGTCTCTATTTTCCTTGTCTAAACTCCACAAAAATAAATATGACAAAATAGAAATAGAGAAGTATGTATATTAAAAATAAAACTAGAATGGCTATTGCCAAAAGACAAAGAAACTAAAAACTCTTGAAATTATACTAAAAACAAGAAAGGCATTGATAAGAGTGAAGTATGCTTCACTTTTGCCTCCATATATATTATCTAACTAAGAGCTATGTGACAATATTTATAGGACTTCCAACATGTGTTGACTTTGCTAAACATATGTCTTAACTTATAAAGCAAGTTTTCTATATGAGCGCCACATAGTTAGCTTGTTCCACAAACTATTAACGTGTATGGCACATGGTTAACTTGTTGATTAAGTTTCTAATCTATCAATCAACTACAAACACATATAAAGTCAAAACTACATCTATGAAACTTTGAGGAAGCTTCTTTAGAAGATATTGTTAAATTAATCTATATTTACTTACTTCTATCTAATCATATAAAAAATGATTGGAATAAATATATTTATATCTATGATATAACTTTAGATATTTCAAAATTAATAAAATTAATGATTTATATGCATAATGATTTAAGATTTATAATTTTAAGTTTTTATAATTTTAGTCCATAGTTTTTTTAGTTTAATAAATATATGTAATTAAAATATAGATTTCTTTTTATAATAATTAATATGTATAATATATATATATATATATATATATATATATATATATATATATATATATATATCTTTGCCACTTCTTCTTTTAGAATGATAATTTGAAAAGTAGAACCTTATTCATATTAGATATATTCTTTGTATAATTAAATATTTATTTATTTAATTTATTAATCATTAAAAATTTAAAAAAAGAACTTACATTGATTTTATAATAAATTATGACAACATTCTTTACAAAATTCTTAACATTTAAGCTAGATTTTATCAAAATATATAATAAGAGATGTCAAGAATCAATATAATATTATTAAAATTATATAAAAAAAAATTAAAAAAAAAAAAAAAAAAAAAAAAAAACTCATTAGTCTTGACCTATAACTTTTGAAAAGTTTCATTTCTTCTTTAGTTATAAATCTATACTAATTATTTTACATATTGCCTTGAGCAGAATAATACATTTATAATTAAGTAAAACTTTTTTAACAATAAAATTATAAGTTTATAATAATGCATATCATAAATATTATTAATAGTATATTTAATAATATGAATAAATGGACTTCTACCAAAGACTACTATAATATGATATCTTGGATAATATGATTTTTATTTTTATATTTTTTGTATATTTTTTATAAATAAAATTATTTTTTTCTTCATTTGGCACAAATTTTTACTATTAAATAAAGTCTTTAAGGATTTTTAATGTTTTTAAAATTAAATGGTGCTTCTAATAATAATCTTATTATACACTAAATTTGAAACAATTCATATCAACATATTGGTAAAATTCAAAGAATATTTATAAATATTTAATTTTATTACTTATTTAATTTTAGATTTTAATTCATTTAATTCCAAAGCAAGAAATTTAATTGATATATTATCTATTTTTGATCATTTATAAACATATTTTGGAACAAAAAGATTTTCTAAAAAAAGATTTAAATTCTTTATCTTTTAAATTCTCAAGAGCATCTAATTTGCATTCAACCAAGCTACAATCCATCACATTTGTATCCCTTGATTAGAGAGGATATTATTAATGAGATCTTTTTTTCTTTTTTTTTTTCTTACAATATTACCCACAACTATTTCTTGTGGAACAATTTAAAAAAAAAAAAAAAAAAAAAAAAAAAAACCATATAACCACGTGAAAAAATTCCAAAATAAAACTAAGACTTTAATTGGATGGAGCCCTCTTGACTTCATCAGTGATCCCATTGTTTCTACAAAATTTACATCTCCTTGTTTGTGTGCATGTGAGGCAAAGCAGCACACCCTTGTAACACCTTCCTTTGGTATTGGAAAACATGCCCTCATGCCTCAGGTAGCATGCACACTGTCTGCATATGAAGTTGTCAGCTTGAGAACCCTGATAAAAAAATTAAGCCCTAATCTGAGCTAACACTTTACTTCGCTGACAGGCTATCATTAATCTCCTAACTACTTATTGTTCTACCACTGTACCCTAGCATGCAACTCACATTTTCCTTCCCACTTAGCAGATCCAGTTTTCGAATCCTGCGATTTGAACACATGTTTTGTAGTCGGATTGTGCCCGACAATTAGTGCTGAAACCTGGAAGGCATTGACTTTAGAAAACTAAAATTAAAATTAAAAACAAATCACAAAGCTATCAACTCAGGCTACGAATATCAACGGCACGTCAGCAGATTCTGAGAGTTTCTGTATGAATGTACTCTGAATTCATGCAGAAGACGGTCCATGGAGAGAATATTTGAAGTCCATTGAACCAACCTGAGACTTCGTTGGTACCATGGAACGTCATGGCTCGCTGTATGAATCTCTATATATACATGCCAAACACAGTACCGTAGAAACTGAAAAGATGAGAAAAAGGAAGAAGCTTTAGTACTTTAATTTTACAAGAGAGAAAATTACATTGACAAATCACTAAGTTTAACCGGCACTGACGGTGGTTCTGCTGGCACTGATGGCGCTGACGGAACTACTATCGTTCTCCGTGAGAAAAGCAACGTGATAAAACTAAGTACTGTTATAATAACTGCCGCAAGTAGAAGCAACTGAGGAAGAAAGCGCTGCAAATCCTGACGTGTCAGCTTTTTTAAATCATTAAAACTGAAGTCTTTAAAATTCCTAGTCTGCTTCCCCAACAGCTGCTGATCAGAGAACGTGAAATCGCCTTCAGCAGGAATAAATTTTGTTCTTGTCACTATTTCCTCGACTTTGAGCCCCTTCCCAGTTTCCTGAACGTTGTACACAGAGGAATGGACTTCAGACTCGTTACCTGAGGGTATGGGTAAAAGTGTTGACCTTTTGACAACCTCCCTCACTTTGACGCCTTCTGGAGTATGTTCAGCACCAGCTACAGAAGAGACCACGGATGATTTTATACGCAGGTACGCCTCTGAGCCTTCTGTATGCTTCTTTCGTTTGTGTATCTTCCCATCCCATATACTTTTGGCCCTCTCGGTTTCTTCTCTTTCCTTCTCAAACTCCCTAACTAACTGTGCATTGCCTTTCAAGTTTGTAATCGCTTCGTCTGCATCCAGCTTGAGCATCGCTTCAGCAATGTTTGGAATCTTCGAGGTCGTAGCTTTCAGCACCTTATAACCATTAATAGATTCCCACATACCAGCTTCATCAAAGATGACCTCTTTGTCAGCACCCATTTCAGGCGTGGTTCCCGACTTTCGGGTCTTCTCAATCTTCTCTTTTCCACCTTCTTTGCTCTTACGTCGTCGTGTCGACTCTCCAGAAGATGTACGTAAAGGCTTCTTCTGCAATTGCCATATCCTAAAATAGTGAGCGCCATCTTCTACGAAATTCCGAGAGTTTTGTGAAACCAAAACTTCACTTCAATTGCACAGGATAATTTAATTGTGCAAGCATCAGCACACTAAGTTTTTAAAACTTCACGGCAATTGAAATCTATAAAACACTAAAAGATATTTCTACAGAACTGCAAGGAGATGAAAAAAATGGAGAATAAGTAAGCCTACACAATTCGAAGAAAGAGAAGAGCACCAGCCTTAACCTGAGGCAATTTCTGCAAACCGCTGCTTGTAATGTTCAATTCCTTTACAGGTAACTGATTTTTTTTAGGCTCTCCTTTTGTCGCCTCTTTACTGTACAAAAGGCAAAGATAATCCTATCAACATTTATATCTTGAGGTGGAACTTTCCCGTGTAAATATACTAAATAATCACACAACTAAAGCATACATACAAGAATGATTCTCTATAGATTATACCGCTCTGCAAGCACATCGTACCACCAGACACAGACGAGTGGGACAGAAAACAGATACTATCTAGCTTTCCAAAACATCAAATAAGCGCTAGCAATGTCCCAATGTTAGGCACAATACCAGCAGGTGAAGTGTACTCCAGTTCAAGGACCCTGAGAGCGGCAGAAGGCTTTGAGATAACTACACTTCTAATCTGTCAAGGTAGAAGCTTAACAACTGCAGGAAGAAGCTTTCTAGGACATAACTCAATGAATCGTACGCACCTTAAGCGATTCTCTTCGCCACCTTTATTGTCATATTTCTTTCCATCTTTGATGTAATGATCTTTTCCATACTCACTGTCCTCGCTGAGATACCCTTCTCCATCGTCGCTATGATTTCCTTCTTCATCCTCATTGCGGTGCCTCTCATCGTCTTTCTTTTCATTGTAACGCCTTCCTCCATCTCCTTTGTGACCCCTTTCTCCAACTGCATGGCCAAGTTTACCTCTATCATCATAGTGATGATTTTTACTATCCTCGACATTGATGCGTGACACTCCCTTGATACTGAACCCCCCTTGACTCAATTGCGACTGCTTACTACGGCTGGTAAAATTTATATCCCTACTCCTCCGAGTGGTGAGAGTATTTTCCTCGTTACGAGCATCCATCGATTGCCTTGCTCCACGCGAATCCCTCTCTTTGTTACCACTTCTGTCAATGCTATCTCTGCGGTCCCTAAGCCCAACTGGATCCTGGTTAACATAGATCTCGCCATCGTTGGCGATGTCGTCCTCGGGAATTATCTCAGAGAATGAATCTACATACTTAGAACGCCGGTAATTTTTACGGTTCTCCACCTCATGATCAGGCTCATCGTTCTCTAGGTTAGCAAGTTTCCTCCTCTGCACTTGTGCCTGAAGTGGTTGATTGCTTTTGTCTGAATCGTCCACATGTAGTACTGATTCCAAGGTTTCTTCGTCGTCGTCTTTCTTTTCCTTCCGTTTCTCTTTCGGTCTTCTCAAAATCGAGAGAAGCTTTCCCGCTAAACCTAGACCAACTACCGTAGCTATCCCGATGATTAGATTCCTCTGTGACTTGGTGAGTTTCCTCCTGCTCCGAACTACCACTTCTCCGGCAGGCTCCTTGTTTTCCATTTTGTTTCAACAATTTTAGAAAAATTTCCCCCTCAATCACAAGTTAAGGTTGGGACCCTTCCCTCAATCGCTTTCAGCAGCAATTCCCGCAGACATGAGTTCTAAAAAAACCAAAAAAAAGTTAAGCGATGATACTAGCATACACAAACCTCTGGATTTGAAATCCGTAGCGTCCTGTAGTACACAAACTTCTCCACTAAACTCTGTCAATGACCTACAATTCCAATTCAAACCTTATTCGAAATGAACTCGTCAACTCTTTTCCCATACACCTCTCCCAAGACGGCACAAGAGACAACTAAGACAAAATTTCGACTGATTTGACTTAATGCTACTTGCCATACCGAACACTTCAATAACAGAAGCAAAGAAAACCCAAGAAATAATTCTCAGGCAAACCAACCAGGTTTTTAAACACAAAGATTACGAAACCCTTGCAACCGAGCACACTACGTGAGACCCAATTAGGCCATCGTAACTAAACATTGTTGAACTGCCACAGACAAAAGACACCAATTCCACGGCGCAATCCCATGAACACGTACCCATCACATCCAAAAACTCCAAAGACTAACCTCTAATTTGAATCAAAACTTGAAACTGTTCCTCTTCTGGAAGCTCATCAGCCACACCCATCATGGGCTGCGTAACAAATGATTCATCACAATCTTCTTCGGTTCCATCATCGTCCTCCTCCTCTCCCTTAACCCACCTCATCCGCTGACTACTGCAAGATACACACAATGGCTCCCAATCAAACTATTATACTCCAATTCTTCAACAAATTGCAATCGGAGCGATACGAAATCCCACATTTATGCTTCAATAAACAGAATGCAAGTACTTACCAGAAGAATTCAACGATTGATAATCGTCCACTAACCTAACTTAACGTATTGCGCCTAGCACGAGTTACAACTGTAAGGTCCTCGGAGAATTTTATTCCGAGCAACAATGCTACAAATTTTGCGCAAACGTGATAAATTTACCAGCAGTAGCAGTGTGATCATTGCATCGATGATAAGAATATCTTAAATTAGAAAGAAGAGCGCCATGCGGCGAATGCAGGCACCTTCTGGCCATGTGTCTAGCCAGATGACATGCCACCATGAACCCGGAGCAAGAGGGTTTCGAAATTTTAGGCTTTGGCTATTTTACACTTCTCAATCGTCCGGTTTGTAGGTGTTTCGGAATTGCGAATCAGGCTGCCCACGTCAATTGTCGCCGCAGATTTACTTCCTCCGCAGATATCCATACCTCAGCAATTAATAAAACCCGAGTTTGCACTAAGTCTACCTTGTGCTTGAATTTCGACTGTTCTCCGCTCGCCAAGTGTTGATTCTAGAAACGCTCAATATTTTCGGTATCTAATGACGTGTGGATGTGCCAGTGATAGATATGTGTTTATTACCTGAGGAATAGTAAAATTTCATTGCAACTTATCACTTCATAACAGTGCAGGAATGAGTCATTATCACCAGGCTTTACAGATCTGGGTTCTAACCTGCTATTTAGACGCTCTCACGCGCACCGACTTCACACAGCAAAGTTATCAAAACTGTAACGGCGAGACAAGTTGCGCCACCCACCGGCCAATATAGCAGCTGATAGTTCAATCTAACTTATTAAGCATTTGAACGAAAGCTGCTCAAAGAGAGTGAGTTTAAAACACATACAACCAGTCTGGATGATTCGCAAACACTCCTTACACCAAGACTAATGTGAACCAACCGATAATAAAATATTTTTATTTAATGCAACCATTGCCACACGACCAGCTTCTTTGTTTTTTTTGAATGAACAGAGTACCTAACCATGTTCTTTTCACACTACAGGAGACATTCAACCTTCACAAAATGTTCTTGAGTAAGAAGAGAAAAATGAAAGCTTGGGTAGGCTTTCCAAAGATCACAACCAGCCTAATGATGAACCAAAGCTCCTCTGCAAGCATCAGCGCTTAGATCGGGGTTCTTATGTACAATATTCGGTGGCGTCTCCTCGTGTGAATCAGGACCCTCAGAACATAGCATAGGTTACAAGAAGTAGCGCCAGCAGTATTAACCAACATACTGCAAGGCCAACAAGAGCCATTTGCCGTCTGGAGTCGAGTTCCTTGAACCCACTTGCCATCATCTCCCCCGCCTGCTTACGAAAAAGTAAAAGAACTCTTAGCAACCCATGTAAAGCCTTAAATCTCTGGAATTTAAACTAAATGTGATTGAAAGTGTAGAAGAGACCCACCAGCTTGACAGTACCCAAGAGCGTTGGTTTGTAAGGTAAATTGCGATCAGCTCGCTGTAGAGCGTACTCCAACATATCTAATAACAACAAATCGTTTTCTGCGCATTGATCTCCGTCTTCCATGACACGGCCTGTGAATCCTGGTACAACACAAAGTCTACGTCTCTGGATCACACGAAGAATAGCTAAGAATCAAAACTACGCAAACGGTTACTAAGTGATGCATTCCTGTATTCGTTAAGTGAATATACAAACCTGCAATGTCGAAGACGTGATCCACGGGAGATACTCCAAGCAAATTGCCCAAGTAGATACGTGCAGCTAGCCGATCATCTTCACTTAACTCATCTCCGTGTGTCATCACAACCACTGGCCTGTCATCTGCAGTCCATGGTCTTAACACGTGAGCCTTCCCTAAAAGTCAACCAAGATGAATCAACAATCTGAATGCGGCTGAATCATAGACAACATAAACTTAGAGTACAGTTTATGTCGTGGTGGACCCTAAGAGACATATGTGTGCAACTGAGGTGTCAGATGGAGCAAGACAGCGTTGTTGAGCAGGTATGATATTGACCTTTGAAGGTGATTAAAGGAAACTTGAAGATGCGCAAAAAATTTGGACGGCTCAAGGTGTCACCGCTATGGCGTATCTTGTGCACAGTCGTAGCATTGATCACAAAAATGACGAAATTTATGTGTCTTTTCTTGCTGAGCTTGTGATGACCCTGCCTCGCTTTTCTTTCTACAGCCTCCTTAACACGGCTGCTATCAGAAGTCCTACAAAAGAGTCCACTAATATTCAACCAACTCTGCTGGTACATCTATTACGAATCTAAAAGTTGCCTTGTAACAGTTCAACTGAGAATGAAGACGGACAGGGTGAATCTGACACCTCCATTCCCTCGCAATTGCTATAATTATAAGAATAGTGAGAAGAAGAAGAAGAAGAAGAAGAAGAAGAAGAAGTTAATGAAGCTACCTGATGACCATCTGACCGTGACGAACACCTTTCACCATCCAGTCTTCAAGCACTTCTAAACCATCGGCTACCTTTAATTCGGGCATGCCCCGGCTGTCAAACACGCAGATGTTGTTCTTGCTTTCATTAAGCATGTACTCGTTCAAGAAGTACGTGCCATTCTCCCCTGGGTCCCCTGCTTAAACAAAAACCGCATAACTCTTACTTTCAGTGAGCTCCACCTATACTTTCTCAGACAGGGCATTCAACAAGACAATAACTACCACCAAACAAGTCAATCCCAAGCCATATTTTATTATCATAGTTCCACACAGTAGTACTTGCTGCATCCAAAAAAGGCGCTACTTACTGTCGCGTCACCAAAGTTTTTCTAAATTAACGCTTCAGAATTCACAAAAAGCTTTGACCTTTTTCCAAATCAAATCTTTTAAAATCAAATGATCTTCAACATGAACGAGTTAACTCCAGAATATGTAGCCAGCATAATTCGGGAACTTAAGATGAGGAGTACTAACCGCACACTTGAGCTCTATCAAAGTCTTGGGACTTATTGTTGAGAACGCGTATAAGGTTGTTGATAAGGGTGCTTTTCCCAGCGCCCATTGATCCAACTACCAATAGCGTGGTCACCTCAGGGATTGCAAAGTCGCTCTTTCGCATCCCTCCTGATTCTACCAACCACTGTCCTGGCTCATACCTAAATAGTTGCAAAAGCATATCACCCGTGAGTTTCTTTCATTCTCGTTTCTGCTCATAACTTGGCAGTTCTTTTGCAGAACATCCAACAAGCACAGCAGATTGAACTTATTTGAACGTATCAAAGTCTTTGCTAGATCATGTGTGCGTGCAAGCGCCAGAATTTAGGGAGCTTCAATGTGAGGCACAGAAGGGCTTAGACATACCTTTGCAACTTGAGCCGCATTTCTTCAATACGCCTGGCTCTCTTTTTCAGAGACGCCTCCTGATACATGATTCGTGCGCTCAAAGCAGCCTGCACGGGGTCCATCTCCACAAGACTTGCATTGGACTCGGCTTGGTCATCAACTACATTCTGGTCCTCGACGGCCGCATCATCATCAGATTTCAAGGAATCTGCTTCGTCCTCGGACATGCCCATCCACTTGTCCTGGAGCTCAGTGGTCACCCATTCCGAGTCACTAGCATCAACTGCAACACATACATTCAGGAATCAATCTCAAAGCATTTCTGTAGGCAAACAAAGACAATTCTCCTACCGAATCTTCGTCTCGATGCAAAAGTAGAGCGCATTCTCATACACCATCCTCTTAACATTGAACTCGCTTCTAAACCCTCCTCTTCTTTAATAAAAATTTTACTTATTTATTTGTTTATATATCAAGAATATGCAAAACAAAGATGGACACATTTAGAATATTTGAACTTGTTGAAATGCAAGTTGTAGCTTCAAGAAATATCACCATTTATGTTTAGCATACTGAACTTCAGACCACTTAGAGTTCAAGTCTAAAGACGCATACAAATTCTAAGCCCATCATGTAGTCCTAAAAAACCCAACAAAAAATAGCCTAACCCTGCACATGCAACTCGGAATTCACGAAACTGCAATCGGACCAAATCAAAGACTTTCATGAGGTATAACTCGTCCATACAGATTGTTATTTTACCTCAGACATAGCAGAACCAGAATGCAATTCAAGCTCGCTATCTCACAACAGAGGTTACAGAAGGAGGTCATCATTAGCAACTAAATGTAAGTCCAACCAAAATCACACAATTAACGCCTGATAAAGATTAATCATCAAACATCACAGATGGACAACATGGCTCGACACCACAATCCGAGTAAAAAGCATCCCAACGTATTAGTCAATTATTGCAAAACAGCCGTGCTTATTAACATTGTGGAAACAAGAACAATCCAACTCTGCAAAAACATACAACTAGAACAGAAGAAACCATCCAAAAAAGCATTCTCAACAACATTGGCTGTCCAATTGAGAAACTAGCATGCAAGGCTCGCCGACACCGGACTTCGTCAGAAAGGCCATCAGACGTAATGTCCAAGCAACGCTTTCAAAAACCTTCGAAACCAGACTCTGAACCCCCGATTCACAAAGAATCGCACCCAGCGAAACGAATTTCTCCGAGCGTACACAAATCGCACGGGTCATTCGACGCCATGCAGAATTCAGCGTTCGATGAACTCATCGAGGAGCCAGCAAAAGGTCTAAACCAGAGGTTGAAGTCAGAAACGATACCAACCTCCTCCCATGTCTTCTTCGACCGAACTCCGCCGCAATGCAACTGGGTTGAGCAAACGATTCCAGGCGACTCTGCGATCGTCGCCGATTGCACAAAAAAACGCAAGCAAAACGATCGAATTAGGCCAAAATCCTTGTCTCTCCCTAATTGGGGTTCTGTAGTCTCTCTCTGCTTGTTGTCTACGCCCCCAGGTTCTCTTCCGACCATTGGACGGTGGAGCGTCCGCTGGCCCCGCGACTTTTGGTCGGTATATGTACAGGCCGCTGATACTTAACGTCGGTGACGTTGCAAATTCGCTCCTCTGATTGGACCTAACGTCATCTTTTACATCGTTTAAACATCTTTTTCTTATTTTACTTTTTTTAGACGGAGATATTGATAGTTGATTGATTTGCTAAATAATATTTGACAATTATATTTTCGTTGCATAATCAAAAAAATAAAATTTATTTTTCATCTACTTTTTGCATTCAATCATGCTTATTGTTTAAATATTATTGTGCATTTATTTATTTATTTATATGGAATTGTTAAATTGATCCAGGTATTTACTAAATTTACCCACCCATCATCATTAGTTAATTGATCCAATCACTTTTTCATTGGTTTTGGTCAATACAGATTCAAAAAGGGAGAATTTTTTGATGATGGTTAGGATGGGTGTGTGGATTTAGTAAATGCTTGGGTCAATTTAACAATTTTCTATACATACACACATATAATTACAAGACATATCATAACATATCAAAACAGGATGCCACAATGGACAATGATCTTCTCTTTCAAGAATAATCAAAAATCAATATTGAAAAAAAAAAAAAAAAAAAAAAAAATTGTATTCAACTTTGACCCACAGAATTTTGCAATCAATGTTGCATTTGCAATGACTACCAATAAAATTGAACGCCAAGTATAGTTGAATGTGGGAATAGATTTTAAACCTCAATAATTGCTTATGCTCAATTGTATGTATTCCTACTTTTTATGTACTTTTTAAAGTTTCATTAAAATGCTTGATAAATATTAAAATTCTATTAAATTAGTGCATTTATAGACATGGGTTGAAGAAGTAAATCAATCACCCTGACCTCTGGTTACATTGTTACACGTTCATGCAATCAAAAATATTTAAATATATATATATATATATATATTTATATCTTTGAGCAGTACATATGAAAGTATTTGCTTTGATGGTTTTGTTTTATTTTTATTTTTCCAAATATTGCAAAGAAATTTGGTAGCACTCTATAAATTAGATGCAATTAGCAAAATTTTATAGGGATTGAGATAGATCTAATTTGCACATCATTGTTACACTCAACAACACAAAATTCCACATATAAGGTATGTAATAAGTTAAATAAAGTATGTAAGGTTGTTACACTCAACAAACACAGAGGAATAAGAAGAAGAAAAACACACAAATAATTAAATCATAAAAATGTCCGTTCATCAAAAGGCGTAAAAACATTACTTAACTCGCTTTAAACCCTTTCAATTCATGCCAACTAAATCCTAACAACAACTACTAATACATATGATACATTTATGTAAACTAACAAAAAATCAACAAAACCCTAATTACTTCATGCCTCCTTGAAATGCAATGCCGCTCACACTGCGGCGGCGACGACGACGACATCCGCCGCGGTGCTTCAGGCTGAACTGGATTGTATCTGAATTGTGTGACTCGCGATGGATGGAGCATCTGCATCGTTGTCAACGACGCAACACAGCGTCGTTTGTTCCATCTCTTCCACTTCATTCCATACACTTCCTACTAGTGTACAAGCTCACAGCAGTGAATCTCAAGAATCAGGCTTGAAGGGGGGTCATGGATTCACGGCGATGCGAGAGATGACGTTAATTCCTGGATATCCAAGAGAGAAATCCTGGAGATGTCTTCTCGGACCAGCTGGGGCCCTTCCGCTGTCAGTTGCTCCTTGCTGAGAGTTGTCGTCACCGAAATGCACCTGATCCGAGCATACGACACCAGTCAAAAAATGTGACCGGGCTCTGTTTTGGTTACGTGCGTAGTGTGCTAGCCGCGTGATTCACCCACGCTGGTTTAGCCGTGAAAATGTGCGATGGGAATTTATGCGAAGGCAGTGAAGGAAAGTTCGTACCTCATGCCGGCAGCTCTTGCGGCCTGCACGCCGGCGATTGCATCTTCGATCACCACGCACTGCAGTCAACCGCAACAAATGTGAGATTTCAATACGCTGGATTCGGTGTGCTAGTGAGGAATCGGAACACCGAACACCCACGTTCAATCATGCCAAGAATACTCGTTTTCTATACCTCATGCGGTGGCAATCCGAGGCTCTCGGCAGCTGCAAGAAAGGCGTCGGGGGCAGGCTTCAATCTCTCGAACAAGTCTGCCGCGATGATTGCGTCGAAACTGCGAGTGATGGAAGCGGTCTCAGACGACACGAAACGTAACAGCAAAATCACGACGAGATTGTGGGTGTTTCATTTAAAAGTACTAGGTCAATGGCATGGCATTCCACTAAATATCTTGGAGCAATCGTCGCACCAGGTTGGGTACTGCAATAACTGTTTGGAAAGCGTTAACTTAAAACAAACGAGTCGGAAGATTAGACATTTAGCAAACAAAGGGGAGTAGAGATGATTCGATAGATACGTATTTTGTGGGATGCCCGCGGCAGCAAGGTTTGCATCCACCTTGACTCGGTCGGCACTTGAAGCCACTGCGAGCTTCAAGCCAGCCTCTTTACACTGCCATCAGACGCACCAACCCATCAAAAAAATAAAGAATAAAGAAATAAATAAATAAATAAATAGAGAGATAAAAACATTTTTAATAAGGGGAATTTTACAAAAAGGGGAACAATTTTTCTACATATTTTCTATGGTAAATCTCAATCGACCCCGTTTGGCAGAGTTATGGTCATTACAAAAAAAAAATCCTTTTCTCATAACAATTCATTTGCAAAAAATAAAATTGCACATAATTTTTGGAAGGTTCTGTACAATGGTTAACTATTTCAAGTTAAAAATTGGTAGCTCTTCAAAGTGTTTATTTTGCAAGCCTGATTTTTCAAAGGTAGTTGTGGAGCAATCAGTTGTTGAAGTCAAAAAAGAGGTGTGTCGCATAGTTCATCAGCAAATCTTTTTGCTACGTTACTGTACATACTGTCAACAGATAAAGCAAGCAAAAAAAATCGTTCCCCTGTTTGTAATTATTTTAATTTTGTTCCCCTATTTGTAAATACTTCCAAATTTGTTCACTTATTCTTAAATTCCTTTTAAAAAAATTCAGTGAATATGGTTATGAGGCCGAACTCCTCGCTGACATATTTCAAGTTTTTCCTATTTGTATGTACTTAGCTTCTGGCGTGATTCTCGAAATTATTGGATACAAACCTGGAGAATCAAGTCCAACGCTCCAGGATATCCTAGTCCGGAGTTAGGCGTGGCGAACTGCAACACAATGCGACGACAATTGAGCTCAGATTACAACATTTTACGTCGTTAATTAACTCACAGCTGAGTGTCTCCCAACAGTTTGAAAAATCCAAGGCACGGTCGTAGAAAACGAGGAAACCAATGATGGGCCTTTTCACGCAAACACCTTTCCGATGTAAATTTGATAATAGCGCTTCTTTGCGGACGCAGTATCGAAATCCTTGATTCCGTATTTCCTTGCCACTCCACCGAGAAAGTTCGCATCACCTGTGATCAGATCACACAAACGTAAACTACACCGAAATTCTGCTTCCTTTCGTTATCATCGCATTGACCGAATCAGCCATTTTCCAAGCCTCAATCATGGTAATTCTTATCATTCTCGTTTTGTTTTACCTGTGGATTGCTTGAGGGAAACGTTTTTTTAAACATACGTATAGTTGGATCTAATTATGTAGCCTCTCATAGTAGTTTACAGAAGCTTTCACGAATCGATTAATAATCTTCGGTCATCGAAACCATCCCTTCATCTAGTTCCATACAGCCCAAATCTCGACCCAGGTATGGTCGACGTCACATCAAACTTTGCAAGCTGCAACTCAAATCAAATTGTATCCAGAAACGTAAGTCGCAGAAGAAAGCAGCGAAACCCAAGCTCTGAGATGCACATACCAGTGCCCATGAATGGAATGAAATCTTTGTCATCTACAATATACCCCATCTCCGCGAACAGCTCAACGGCAGCCTTGCGCGAGCAATGCTCACTGTCACAAAGCACGCCGTCCATGTCAAACAACACTCCTCGCACCACACTCGTTGCTGCCGGAGCTCCACCCACCTCCGACACAGACACCTTGCGCACCTCACCCGCCGACGCTTTCACCACCACTCTCCGAACATCCTTCACCTCACTTCCGACTCGTACACCGCCAACGCGGCTCCTCCTCATCATGGGCACGAGCCTGGGTGCCGAGACTGGCGTCGCCGCAGGCTCCCGCGCCAGCAAGCTCCCAATTCCCTTGCCCAGCTCCACTACCTCCATGGAAACCACGCGAATTACTCCTGCAAATTCACGAGCAAACTTGTCCAATCTCCTGAAACGAACCGCAATTGCCTGATGATTTGCGTTGGTGGGGCTAGAAGCACCGATGTCGAAGTGGATCGGAAGTCGCGGTATGCAGTGAATTATGAGGCTTGGCAGGGGGTATGGAGGATCGAGGAGGAGGGAGGGAGAGATTGCGATCCAGGGGTGAGTGTTGGCTGGACTGTTTCTTTCATTCTTTCTGTGTCCAGAAGGGGCGGTGTGGTTATGGCCATTTCTTTTTGCGGGGGACGATGATCACCACATGTGGGTGTGGTGATGTTTAGTTCGTTCGTTTGTTCAATGGACCTGCCTCGACGCCATCGCAAATATCTATCTATCAATTTTATCTTCCTTGTTGCGTGCAACTGGTGCTCGCTCCCCCCCATCGCCCTCGCCTCACAGTCGCCTCCGCCTCGCCTCCTACCGGCTCAAACTGTGGACGGACGCACGGATGAACGAGTGGATGAATTTTATGCTTTAACGAATGAAGGATGTGTGGATAGATGGATGGCTTCATTTTATGGATGAAAATTTATGGATTGGTGAATGGATGAAATGATATGGATGGATGAATAAATGGATGGGCACCTTGTGCTTCCTAAAAGAGATTTGTTTTGTAATAGACTCTTGTTTTGTTGATGCCAATGTTTATAGATATTTTTAATGTAAAATGCATTAAGGGACATAAACTAATAGGATAAAATAGAAGAGACAAATTTGATCTCTAATCAGTTGCATCTCTTATTGTTCTCATTAAAAATGAAGCAAAAGTGAAGCAATTCATAGAGCCTTAACAACACATATGATTTACTATTATTTCAAAAAATGATATCACATTAGCTTTTGACTCAACCATCATTGTTTTCATGAATTATCTTGATGAAACCAATGAATATTTTTTTTTAGTAAAAATAAGATTGAATGATATATCGGGGCATTCTTAATCATTATTCTATGTTCATTGATCTTTGTTTTCTAGATGGTCTTATAATTTTGAATTTTGTATAGAATCAACTTGACATGGCTTTGGAGAAGTTGTAGATCTCACGATAGATATTAAGAGACTATGAGAACATCAACAACAATACATGCATCTATATGTGTTAGGGACATATTCCTTAGAACTTTCTAGAGAGAAGTTTCTAGAACCTTCTAGAAAACAAGCCTCTGGAACCTTCTAGAAGAGAAGCCTCTGGAACCTTTTAGAGAGAAGTTTCTAGAAGCTTCTAGAAAGAAAGTCTCTGGAACCTTCTAGAAGAGAAGTTTCTAGAAGCTTCTAGAAAGGAATCCCCTGGAACTTTCTAGAAGCTTCCTAGTTAATAGAAGAAGCTCGAGAAGTTTCTAGAACCTTCTAGAAAGGAAGCCTCTAGAACCTTCTAGAAGCTTCCTAGTTAATAGAAGTAGCTCGAGAAGCTTCTTAAGTAGGAGTATATATAGGAATCGAGGCTGAAGAGTTCTTCAATCTCGATAACACATCTCTTGGAGTTCTAGCTCACCTTTCTGGTGTTGTTCTTGTACTCATCTGTTTAATCTAGTTCTGCCACTTCTTCTTGAACTTCTTGTTAGATTTCAAGTCTGTATTTTGTGTCCGTGACAGTTTGTCGAGACTACACTAACTTGAGATATCAGAGCTAGTTCTTTCTTAGTAGAGTGTGGATTACCCCTCTACTTGAAGGTATACTAGCATTTTTTAGAGGTTGCGGATTACCTTCCTCTAAACTGATACTTCTTCTGTTACAATATTGGAGTCTTATTCTTCTTGGAGAGAGTGGATTACCCCTCTTCTTGAAATTCTTAAGGCGTTTTATAGGTTGTGGATTACCCTCCTATAAACCAATATTGCCTCTTATAGGGTCATTTTTGTCCTTCTTTCAGAATGGCCGGAGGTCAAGACATTAGTATGACAGAAAGTTCGGAGTCTAAGTTAGATGCTATTATGAATGCCCTCGCTACGTTATCACAAAGAACTGCAAAGATTGAAGGAGTGGTGGCAAGGCTTCATAATGATGGAGTATCTAAAATAGCACAATCTAAACTACACCAGCCTCAAATTTCGGCACTTGGAGAAACAACTTTACCTCAGGTTCGACAAGAACCACTAGTTCTACAACATAAGGAGCCTCGAGTTAGCCTTCTAGATAAGTTTGATGGAACACGTTCCAAGTTTCGAGGATTTGTCAATCAAATCAGGTTGATAACAGTTTTACAGCCCGAACGATATCCAACGGAGGAGTCACGTGTTGGGCTTGTTGGAACCTTACTTACGGGACAAGCTCTATCATGGTTTGCTCCTTTGTTTGAGAAACGATCATCCATATTAAACAACTTCGAAACCTTTTTGGAAGCATTTGCGGAAGCATTTGGTGAACACGATAAGGTTCGATGGGCTACAACAAAGATCCGGTCGCTACGACAAGGGATGCGTTCTACATCAGTCTATGCTTTGGATTTCAGGCAATTAGTATGCGACATTAATTGGGATGAAGAAGTGTTGATGAGTCAATTCTATTGGGGTTTAAGAGATGATGTGAAGGATTTGCTGTTAACTCTTCCGGATCCACGAACGCTCAATGAAGCCATTAACCAAGCTGTGAAGTGCGATAATCGCCTATTCCAACGTCGCCAAGACCAACGCTCAAGACAACATACAATTCGCCATGCTCCAACTATGTCAGCAAGCGGTGTGAATTCGCATTCAGAGGTGGAAGACATGTAAATTGATGTGGTACGTATCAAATCTCTTACTATAGAAGAAAAAAAGCGACGTATGGAAGAAAATTTATGCTTGTATTGCGGTGGAGAAGGCCACAAAGTCGGAAACTGCTCCAAAAAGCAAAATCGAGGCATAGTCAAGACTAGGGGAGTATTTGTTCAGGAAAACGAGGATGCCCAGCCACAGTAGGAACCGTGCGGCTGGACAATGAAATATCCCAACAACAATCAGGTTCCTTTCTTTCTGCCCAACCTGCACTTTGTTTTATAATCCCTCTGTTTATCGGCCCTCAAAAACTGAGAACCTTAGCACTACTAGACTCGAGAGCATCTGCTTGTTTTTTACACGAAGAATTTGCAAAGCGTCATAAGATCCCTTTAGTACAAAAATCAAAACATGTTCATGTTGAGATCATAGATGGGCGACCTTTATTGTCTGGTAGCATCACCCATGAATCAAAACCTATAGAAGTAACGTTTAAAGACCATAGTAGTCATATTATTTTTAATACTATTAGAACCCCATCAAATCCTATTATTCTTGGTCTTTCTTGGTTGGAAAAACATAATCCATTGATAGATTGGAGGTTGCGGAAGATGACTTTTCCCACAAAACCACCCAAAAAAAAACCTAGTAAAAAACCTCGAAAAAAGAAATCCTTATTCATTGGAGCAAGAGCGTTTATAAGATCATCTAAGGAAGGCACTCCATTTGTCATTTATGCGGCTCCAACTACCGAGGAGAAGATCTCAACAGCAAGTATACCGGAGCAATATAAAGATTTTGAAGACGTGTTTCAAAAGAAGAACGCCGACATACTACCGGAACACCGACCATATGATTGTGCCATAGACTTGCAAGAAGGAGCACAACCACCTTTTGGCCCAATCTACAATCTATCGCAAACGGAGTTGGCAGAGTTACGAAAGTACATCGACGAGAATCTAGCCAAGAACTTCATTCGTCATTCAAAATCATCAGCTGGAGCACCCATCTTATTTGTGAAGAAGAAAGATGGATCATTACGGATGTGTGTGGACTATCGAGGCCTCAACAAGGTAACAAAGAAAAATCGTTATCCATTATCCTTGATTTCTAGTCTCTTAGAACAACTTGGACGTGCGAAGATCTTTACAAAAATTGATCTAAGGGGAGCTTATAATCTCGTACGAATCAAGGAAGGAGATGAGTGGAAGACAGCATTCTGTACAAGGTATGGTCATTTCAAATATAATGTCATGCCTTTTGGTCTTACTAATGGTCCAGCAGTTTTTCAACATATGATGAATGACATCTCTCGAGAACACCTCGACGATTTTGTTGTCATCTACTTGGACGATATTCTAATATTCTCTTAAAACGAGGAAGAGCATGAGAAGCATGTTCGTTTGGTCTTGGAGAAACTATGCAAGCGAGGACTATATGCCAAATTAGAAAAGTGTTTATTTCACCAGACGGAGATGGAATTTTTGGGGTTCATTGCGACTACAGAAGGTTTGAAGATGGACCCCAAGAAAGTAGAAGCAATCATGTCTTGGGAGGTTCCAAAGACGGTTAGAGACGTACAATGCTTTCTTGGTTTTGCTAACTTCTATCGGATCTTCATCAAGAATTATTCTCAAGTTGCTGCTCCTCTCACTCGATTAACATGTAAGGATAAGTTGGAATGGGGACCTTTGGCGGAGAAGGCGTTTCAAGATTTGAAGACAGCATTTACTACAGCTCTAATTTTGGTACATCCAGACTTTACAAAGGCCTTCTATTTAGAAATTGATGCTTCAGATTTTGCTTTGGGAGCTGTGCTTTTACAAATGAGTGAAGATAAGAAGCTCCATCCAGTTGCATTCTATTCTCGAAAGTTCTCTGCTGTTGAAATCAATTATGAGATCCACGATAAGGAACTTCTTGCTATAGTCGATTCTTTCGAAGAATGGCATCACTTTCTTGAAGGAGCTGCACATCCAGTAACCGTATATATGGATCACAAGAATTTGGAGTATTTCATGACGGCTCAAGTTTTAAATCGGCGTCAAGCTCGGTGGAATATGTCGCTATCTTGATTCGATTTTGTTATCACTTATCGACCTGGAAGGCAGCAAGGACTATCCGATGCTTTATCAAGGAGATTGTATCTTGCACCAAAGGCTGGAGAAGCAGCATTTGATCAATAATGTACAACGTTATTGAAGCCAGAGAGATTTCAACTTTGTGCTACTATTGTATCATTTGATGCTGACTTCCTAAACCAGGTATGTGCTATGACCATTAAAGATTCAGTAGCCATTGATATTAAACAACGTACCAATGACGACAAGTTCAAGGTGGAGGGAGATCTTTTATACTTTGAAGAGCGATTGTACATTCCAAAAGGACTAGCACGACTCCGAGTTCTTCAATCTCGCCATGATTTTCCAGCTGCGGGACATTTTGGATTCAACAAGACCTTGGAGCTTATTTCCCGAGATTTTTGGTGGCCCCAAATGTGGAAGGATGTGAAAGATTTTGTCCTCTCTTGTGACATCTGTTCAAGATCTAAGAATCC